ATATTTCAAGAACCGCAGTTAAAATAAGTACTTCCGAATAAAAATAAATTCAATAAAATAAAATAGATAAAGAATATATAARGTAAAGACTAAGTAGCAGACAATCCTGCTGTTTGTTATATAACACTTTCAAATTACATAGTTTGTGGAATAAAATGTGTTCATAATTCCCATTTTACAAACGTTTGTATTTTAATTACGTGGTAGACAATTAAACGTGGAACCTTAATAGTTTTACTAAATATTATCAAAGGTCGAAAAGTGCTATCCGTGTAGATTTTATTTATTTCTGAAACTAAAATTATAATACAATATATCATATAAATTCTGAAATGTAAGTATTAATGCTTTATAGACATTTAGTATGGAAATTGTTAAGTTATATACGGAATATATAGTTTTAATTGTCTACTTGCCTATTTGTTATATTGTTGTTAATATATTGTGTTGAKAATTTAGTATAGTAAGTATATTTTTTAGAAATATTGATGACTAAAAAACAATTGTTTCACAGAATTGAGTGTACAACTAAAAATATTACTTAACTCTATCCATAATTYCAAACACAAATTTGTTCCTATGGTTTTGTGCTATGTTGAAGAYAAAATTGTTTGTTGTCTTAACCCACAGTAATGCATTAAAACATTTTATTAAAGGGAAATAATTTATGATGGAATATTGGAAAGTATTGACTGCTATCAAGTATGATATTATTAACATTACAACAGTAGTACTTTGAACAAAATATATACATCGCTGCACCAATAATTTCTCGATTTAATCTCAAATAATTAATATGGAATACATAATTATTTAACGTGCTTATTACACTTTAACATCATATATTATGTATATATTATATATACGTATATCTTTATATTGTATCTAAATGGTAGGTATGTGGTTATCTTAAAAAAAAAAAACTAATAGTTTATTAAAGCGTTGTACCTAATCTTTTACAACTATAGTCATAAAGAGTACCTATACATTTATTGTAACATTTAATTATTGAAGCCTAGTACGTTTGTTACTAGTAACTAGTAAGTAATGGTATCGAGGTATGCGTACGACCTAGACGAGGGTCAAAGGTTTTAATACGTATTAATTCAATAACTAAGGACATTATTTTGGAGTACAAAGGCCATGTCTTTTTGTTTTACATAAACAGTGGTAATAAAACTATCATAAATAAACTAGCACATTTATTAAAATTAAACTTACAAATATTTTCTTTTAGTAATTGTTTAAACAGTTAATTATAATAATCAATAAATTAAAAGATAAATAGATATTTTATATTTTCTGGGATATTATAGTAATAGGTAACTTATAAATGATGACCTATATTAAAAGTATTTAGTGTAATAATTTATATTTTATGTCTTATGTAGATAAAAATATGAAACATATTAAACAAAATTTATATAACATGGATAAAAACTAACGAACGTCATTATTCGTAAGACTGAAAATTAAAAATATATACTTAATTAGATAAGAAATAATGTGTTACAGACTTACATATTTTATTCATCATTGATCAATATTATTGGATATTAACTATTAAAATTTTATGGTAATGTTCATAAGCAGTGACGATACGAACTTTTTTATCAGTAAGACAAATAAATTTCACTTGTTCCACAAAATATTTTATTTGTTCAAAATACCACCAGGGAGAGATAATGACCTCAAAGATCTCACACAACATAAAATTTTATGTGAAATTTGCAAATTTGCAAATGTATTATACAATACTTCAATAGAAATAATTTATAAAATTAAATAAATACTGCTATTATTAAAAAATAAATTCAAATAATTCATATTTTAAAAGGTAGGATTTATCTATTAATATTAATCTATCATGCTATATATATATATTTATTTATTTTATTAAGTATTTTGTCTTTTAGAGCATTAAAAAACTTAAATATTTTACTTTGAAGGTTTCTAAGAAGACTTGAGTTTGTCACCAAATAATTAATACTTTTTAGAGAATATGATAATTTTCAAAATTTTTTGTATCTTTTTGTGCTATTTGTATGCATTGAAAAAGTTTTACTTATTTTTCGATATAATATATGTAAGGATAATAATTTAATTTCCTAGGAAAATGCATGAAAATGTATTACAATAAGGTTCCAATAAATTGTCCTTATTATTAATATGTAATCTAAAAATATTACAAATACACAGCTAAATATTTAATCTATTTTTGATATTTTTTAACTACGATAATAACAAATTAAGGAAAATATCGTATAAAATGTTGATGTTTTTTACTCAAAAACAAAAAAGTTATTATAAATATATATATTATATTTATATTACGTCTATTATAAAACATTTATTTGGTGAAAATTTCTATTCTCTTTAGTTATTCAATTTTYAAATACAACAAAAAATTAAAAAAATTTGTTATTAATATTTAATACAATTTCCTGTTTAAAAAAAATATATCTCAGTTATTTCAAAAAGTTGCTAACTACATAAAAAAAGCGGGTAAGTCGTGGATGTCGCTCTGCTGTACAGTAGGTTACTGTAATGGATGGGATTAAATTTGAAT